GGATTATGTGAGCATAAATGAGGCAACTCCTTCAAGCTATTTAAATTTTCACATCCCCAGAAGTTCTGGGCGAGGAGGAGGAGTAGCAACAATCTTCGAGTCTGACTTACTGATTACTCCCAAAACAATTAATTCCTACAACTCTTTTGAACATTTAACCCTTAATTTCCCTGATCCAAATTTCAAGGCAAGAAAACCTCTTCTTTTTGTAACTTTGTATCGTCCACCAGGTCCTTACTCTGAATTTTTAGATGAGTTTTCAGAGTTCCTTTCTGATTTGGTATTAAATACTGACAGGGTCATCATAGTGGGAGATTTTAACATCCATGCTGACATTGAAGGCGATAGCTTAAGAGCAGCCTTTAATGCTATCTTAGACACTATTGGCTTTGTTCAAAATGTGAATAGTCCCACGCATTCTCATCTTCATACTTTGGATCTTGTGCTGACATACGGCATAGAATGTGAAGAAATAACAGTATTTCCTCACAACCCTGTCCTCTCTGACCACTTTCTAATAACCTTCAGGATTACTTTAACAGAGTTCTCCTCCCCCAAAAGAAGGTTCAATTTTAGTAGATCTTTATCAGATAGTGCAGTTATAAATTTTAAAGAATCTGCTTCACTTTCTCTCTGCTCTGTGTCACTGAGCAGTGCTGCAGAGTGCAAAAGCTTAGCTTATTCCCCTTCACAGGTTGATGATTTTGTTGAGGGGGTTGCTAGTTCTCTGCGTATTGCCTTAGACAACGCAGCTCCTTTGAAAATGAAAACCGTTAAAAATAGAAAGCTTGCTCCTTGGTTTAATGCAGAGCTGCGTACTTTGAAGCAAAATGCTAGGAAACTGGAGAGAAAATATCGCTCCACAGGCCTGCGAGAGTCCTTCCTAGTCTGGAAAAATGGTTTACTGCTGTATAAGAGGACCCTTTGTAAAGCAAGAGCAGCATACTTCTCCTCATTAATAGAGGAGAATAAGAATAATCCTAGATTTCTTTTTAATACAGTTGCCAAACTCACCCAGAGCCATAGCTCTGTTGAACCGTCCATTCCACCTGCTCTTAGCAGCAATGATTTTATGGGATTCTTTATAAATAAGATTGATCTTATTAAAAATAAGATCATAAGCACTCCTCTATCCGCGATTGTACCTGAGGTAGTCATGGAATCTGAACCGGGTTTAGACTGCTTTGATCCAGTTGAACTCTCTGAATTAGCAAAATTATTGTCTTCATCTAAGCCTTCAACTTGTATGTTAGATCCAGTTCCAACCAGGTTATTTAAGGAGGTATTCCCTTTGATCTCCTCCTCCATTTTAGATGTGATTAATCTATCTCTGTTACAGGGATATGTACCTAAAGCTTTTAAGATTGCTGTAATTAAACCTCTGCTTAAGAAACCGTCTCTTGACCCAGATGACTTGGTCAATTATAGACCTATATCCAATCTTCCTTTCTTATCCAAAATTCTTGAGAAAGTAGTTGCCAAACAAGTTTGCGATCACTTCCACCATAATGAACTTTTTGAAGAGTTTCAGTCTGGCTTTAGAGCTCATCATAGCACTGAAACAGCTCTGGTGAAAGTCACTAATGATATTCTCATGGCCTCAGATAATGGACTTGTATCTGTGCTCGTCCTGTTGGATCTTAGTGCTGCATTTGAAACAGTTGACCATAATATTCTTTTAGAAAGACTTGAATATTTTGTTGGAATTAAAGGAACAGCACTAGACTGGTTTAAATCTTATCTATCTGATCGAATTCAGTTTGTTCATGTTAATGATAGATCTTCAACACGCTCAAAGGTTACCTGTGGAGTACCACAGGGATCAGTGCTAGGACCACTCTTTACTTTATACATGCTCCCAATTGGTAGAATTATTAGACAGCATGGGATTAATTTCCACTGTTATGCTGATGATACCCAGCTATATCTGTCTATAAATCCAGATGAAGCTAACCCATTACATAGATTACAGGCATGTCTTGAAGACATAAAAACCTGGATGACTCTTAATTTTCTGCTTCTGAATGCAGACAAAACAGAAGTTATAGTCTTTGGACCAGAGTCTCTGAAAAAGAAACTGATTAGCCAGTCACTTCATTTGGATGGGATTAAACTGATTTCAGATAATAAAGTAAAAAATCTTGGTGTTATTTTTGATCAGGACCTGTCATTTAAATCCCATATCAAAGAGGTTTCTAGAATTTCCTTCTTTCATCTGAGGAACATTGCAAAAATTAGAAATATCCTGTCCAGGGGTGATGCTGAGAAACTAGTCCATGCATTTGTTACTTCAAGGCTGGACTATTGTAATTCTTTACTATCAGGAAGTCCACAAACTGTAGTTAAAAGCCTTCAGCTGATCCAAAATGCTGCAGCCAGAGTTCTAATGAAAATGAAAAAGAGAGATCATATCTCTCCTATCCTGGCTTCTCTTCATTGGCTTCCTGTTAAATCAAGAATAGAATTTAAAATCCTCCTTCTCACATATAAAGCCTTAAATGGCCAAGCTCCATCTTATATCAGAGATCTGATTGTTCCTTATGTTCCTAACAGAGCACTTCGCTCTCAATCTGCAGGTTTACTAGTGGTTCCTAGAATTTCTAAAAGTAGAATGGGAGGCAGATCTTTTAGTTATCAGGCTCCTCTCCTGTGGAACCAACTACCAGTTTTAGTCCGTGAGGCAGACACCCTGTCTACTTTTAAGGCTAGGCTTAAAACTTTCATTTTTGATAAAGCTTATAGTTAGGGTGGCTCAGGTTATCCTGAGCTATCTCTATAGTTATGCTGCTATAGGCTTAGACTTTTGGAGGACATAGGGACCCCCCATTTCATCATTCTGCTTCATTCTCTCTCTGTTCTCCTATTCTGCAGAATCTGTTAGTTCAATCTCTAACCTTCTGCTCTCTCTGCTTTTCCTCAGAGTAGCTTTGCCTCGTCTGTTCCTGTTTGGCTGTGACGTCATCCTGGAAAAAACATCAGCTGTGCTGCTTCTATCAACACCCTTGTTAATAGATGTTGGAGATCGGCCTGTTTTCCAGTGTGGTCCTGTTTCTCTGACCGTGACTGAGTGGATGTGCTCTCTTCGTCCTCTGGCATGGGAGCTGCCTTGGAGCTCGTCTGCCTGGCTGTGTGTTTCCTGGACGGGGCCGCCTTTTACAGCTGCTTTTTGTATCTCTGCTTCTGTCTCCTTGAACCCCAGTCGGCCTCGGCAGATGGCCGCTCACACTGAGCCTGGTTCTGCTGGAGGTTTCTTCCTGTTAAAAGGGAGTTTTTCCTCTCCACTGTCGCTACAAGCATGCTTAGTGTGGGGGATTGTATTTGAGTCAATGAGTCAATGCAATCAACTGGTTTTCCTTAGATAGAAAACTTTGTATCAATTTGACTGTATGATCTGGTTGAACTGTAAAGTGCCTTGAGATGACATGTGTTGTGAATTTGGCGCTATATAAATAAACTGAATTGAATTGAATTGAATTGAATATTTAGTCTGGCCCCGATAAATGAGATTGTTGATGAGAACAAGCCGTTGAGAACAAGCCGTTGTTAGGGTTCAAGTTTGTGTGGGTTGTTTTTTGTGTTTTCCTCTCTCCACCACCAGGTGGTGCCCTGTCCTCGTTGGGCCTCCCTGCACACCTGCGGCTCATTGGGTCATTACCAGAGGAGTATTTGAGCAGCAGGCTGTCACCACCTCGACGCCAGAGTGTTTGCCAGTATTGGGTACTCTAGCCATACTGAGATTAGCAGAGTCTAACCTTTGCCTTGTCTCTCTGAGTCTAAGCCTTGCCTTTGTCTTTTGTTCTTCGGTAGGATGCCCTCCTGATCCACTGGATAAGCCTGGTCCTTCTACCCCCCTTGGAAGGAATTATTAGAGTCACAATGCAACAGAAAGAAAACTTGTAACTTTCAATGGAATGCTCCATTAAAAGCTACTGCTGCCACAGTGCATGCTACTTTGTCATAGAGATTTGTTGTTACGCCCTCAAAATCCAGCCCACTTTGCGTCCAGACATTCAAAACACATCTTTGTGTTGTGATTGGTCCGACAGATTTAGGGCCTGGGGCATTGATTGAGGCAAGACCAACTCAAAGGCAAAAATGATTTTGGCTGCTGGCGGGTGGGTCTAGTTTACTAGGCTAGAAAGATGGCGCAGGCACCCCGCAGTGGAAGAGGAGCTATGTTCCCAAAGAGGAGCGAAACGTAGTGATCATCTTTCCAAACGGTAAGTTAACGGAGTCCACTATATAGTCCCCGCTCTATGTAGTGCTTTAGAGGTTATAGCGGACATTTGGACACAGTAAGCTTGAATGAGCTATGAGAACAGCAACTTTTAAATAGAGCGTGCACAAGGAGAAATGGGCCCGTTCACGCTCTCACATGTATTTAATAGGTGTTTCCTCTGGGAGCAGGTACAGCGCTGTGCATTTGTCTTTTTTTTATAAGTGGAGAGGGTGGGTCTTTTAAAAAAAAAAAAATCACAAAAATCTTCCAACATACGTATCTTTAAACTGGCCCAATATGTAACACAAAAACACAGTGCCATATATGCAACCTTTTTGTTGTAAATCTGTAAGTAGTTGGAAAATACATTCATAAAAAAAAAGTGCAAAAAGTGCAACCACAACCTCAGAAAGGAAACAAGAGCAGAAGATAATCGTAATTCTGTGCCTTTTTGTACTAAACTGCAGTTACACAACGAAAATCTACTTTTTCATGCATTTGACACAGACCACTGATAAAATTAGTTCGGAGATAACAAGGGGCATCCTGCACAAGCAAAATTATTCAGGAAGCTGAAAATGAATTGTACATAATAGTCAAAAGAGTTTCCAGGTTTTGCTAGTAAGCACTGAAAAAAACGCTATTAATTTATGTAAATTAAGCAAACATGTTAAAGCTAAGAGGTGACAGTTCTTTTTTCAGTCTTATGTTTGATATGTGTTGCTTCCTGTTTCAAACCTCAAGAAAAGGCAGTCTCATAGCTATTGGTGAGATTAAATACCACAGCAGATTTTGATGTTAGGATTCAAAGAGCCAGACAATTTGTAGCATTAAGCGATGGAGGAAATTTATGCCAATGTGGAACATGTGAAACCTGTTTGCCAAATTCCTACGTCTCAGACCGAAGGTAAGAATGATTGGACAGAGAAATGTATGATGCATTTTATGATTGTTTTAGAACAGAATGCATTCAGATAATATTTAATTTATTTGTTTGATAAGGTTCAAGCAGCTCCAAGAAGAGGCCCTTCCTCATTGTTATTATATTTCTGGGAATCCTGAATGTTATACTACTGGTTGGACTCATCGTCCTTGGTCTCCACTGTGAGTCTTGTTCTTGTCAGCTTAATTAGGAACAGAGTAAAGCCTCTTTCACTGAAAGATAAATGGCAACAGCCCATTCTATAATCAAACTGACTGACTGGGTATAAAAGAACAAATCTTGGTGATTCAAAGGTTTGCAGTGCCTTGAAGAAGTTGGTCATAAAGTATGATGTTCACTCTAAGCCATTTTTTTATATTACAGAAACAAATCTCCCTCATTTTGAAGCAAACTGTACTTTCCTACCATTTTAGTTAAAATCGGAATGTCCTCACTATTCAAAGTATTTATACATTCTCTGTTCAGTGTGAAATTATTTAAAATTCTAAAATATTAAGATGTTTTATCTTTGACATCTTTATTGATTTATTTCAGCTTGGGACTTAGCGGCCGATGTCTCTAACATCAGTGACAATCTTACTGACCATCTCCATGTTTTATGCAAAACATTAAACATGGTTTCCAAGCTGATGGCAAATGACAAAAAATATAGATCTGAAAGTATAATTTAGATCTTTTTTTATGCAGTTACAAGAAAAAATTGTTGAAATGTTCTTTAAAAACCTGCTAAACTTCTAAAGTATGGTATTTGTACTGATGAAGATTCCCAGTCATCCAGGTCATAGTCATTCTGTAAAAGTAAAAACAAATCCACTGGACTTGGTTTCCAAGATTTGAAGACATTTCGCCACCTCTCCAGGAAGCTTTCTCAATTCAAATGTCTGGACCGACCTTCAGAATCATAGACAGGTTTAAGATATTACAGGCTAACAATGGAACCAAACGACCCACTCATCGGTTTCCATTTGCATGTTTCCAAGCAATTCAAGGCCTTGTCTATATATAAACTCAAACTCACTGTGGATCCAGACATTTGAATTGAGAAAGCTTCCTAGAGAGGTGGCGAAACGTCTTCAAATCTTGGAAACCAAGTCCAGTGACTTTTTTTAAAAACTTTAACCATATGGTATTTGTAAATAAACTATATAAGAACAATTTGTTGGCTCATTTTCAGCCACTATTATGAGACAGTGTACACAATCAAAAGAGCCACTTGCGGTTCTAGAGCGACAGGTTGCATAGCCCTGGTATAAATGGTATAAATAAACAAATCTTTGTGGCTCCAAGATTTGCAAGGTCTTGGAGATGTTGGTCATAGTTAAATATGGTGTATGTTGCATAATTTCGCTGATGTTCGGTCTAAGCCTGTCTGGCATGTTTTACATTACAGAAACAATTCTTCTTTGTTGACAATTCAAGGAGCTTTCTTGCGGTTTTCGTCAAAATTGTATTAATGTCCTCACTTTCAAAAATATTTATATATTCTCCTTCATTGTGAAATAATTTTTAAATTCTGAGACCTGAATTAGCAACATGAAAATATATGTTATTTTTCTTTTTAAAAACATGTAATTGATTTATTTCAGCTTGGGAGTTGGGAGCAGGTCTCTCTAACATCAATGACAATCTTACTGACCGTCTCCAGGACAGCAACAGCAAGCTTTACTCCATGACTGAAGAACGAAACCTGCTGCATGCTAACCTCACTGAAATGATGAAAAAGCTGAACAGGCCTCGAGGTTTGTCAAAAAATGCAACAAATACTGATAAAGGTCCATGAAATTCATAGATATTTAGGGTTGCTGGTAAGCTCAACTTCCTGTGTCTTGTTTTTTTTTTTTTTTTTTTAAAGGAAATGTGTAAAGATTTTAGGAAAAAAAAATAATTGGGCTGCAACCCCAGGTTCTATAATCGCAGTTCAATCTGTGTTTCTGATTCTTCCAAAGTTTTAGGTAGAAGGATCCGATCACAGAACAAAATGTTAACATAACTCCTTTGTAAATTCATATATACATATGGTACAAAAAGGTTATCTAAAATTTAAATGTACTTAAAATGTAAAACTATATATTTTTCCTTTAGAGAAAACATGTCCTACAGGATGGACAAAGTTCAGTTTCTCCTGTTACTTTGTCTCTACAAAGAGCGGCTTGTGGGATGAAGGAAGACAGGATTGCATATCAAGAGGAGCAGATCTGGTGGTGATAAACGATAAAGATGAACAGGTGCTGTGTTCATTGTTCCATTAATAATACCCAATAATTTACCTCTTACTGTATGTCCTTTATTTATAGTGTATCCCACAAAACCGGAAATGATGAAAATACAAATACAGGCACAAGTATATTGACTTGTTCCTGATCAAATTGACAACTTTACAAGTTTGACTAAATTGTATTCTTATTTGTTCAACTATGAATAATAAAGAAACAGTGGAGGCTGGCCAAGCGGCCTGACACATCTCTTCAGAAAGCAATTTTGTGTCATTTGTAAGAAGGCTCTTTGAGTCTGGATCTAGCATCACCAACTAGATTCAAACTCTTTAGTACATGAGCAAGACAAGGCACAGGCTTACCCTTATGGCTCTGTTGCTGGAACAGATTAAAGCTGTGGAGGACTTATGACTTATGGTTTTGCCTTTTTCTGCGGAGGCCTAAGGCAGAGTTTAACTGCTGCTGCCAACACTGTAATGTTGGTGATATGACATGAGGCTTTAATTGTTACATCTTGACTACAAACAGAAGCTCTGGTCCTTAAATGATTGACTTGATGCTGAGGGAGCCAATGAACTCTCAAGTAGTTGTTTTGGTGATTGTGATGTAGAATCCAGGGATCCTGAATGGGTATTCAGTAGTGAATTAAGCAGGGGATTGCTGATCAGATAATTCTATGCCTGTAGTGCATGGAGCTTTAGGCTACTCATCAGTAGGGAGTTAAGCATTTGAGATGCTGGTAGTTAGCATTGTGGTGTGGATCCCAAACCTTCTTGCAGTAAAACAATCCTCTTGCCTCAATCTTCTTTCTTCTTTGGGGTTGGAATCACCATGTATGCACAGAATTTCTCTGGGTACTCCAGCTTCGTCCCTCAGCTTAAATACAGATGAAAATCCATGAATGTATGCAACCAGATAGTAGAAAATACCAGTGATCTGTATATTCAGTAGTGTACTGTTCATGCACATTAACATGGTAACTATTTTCAACTTAGTTATCTACTAATGCAACTTTTGTATGCTGATATTTGACAGGAGTTTATTTCCAGTCTTGCAAACCAAGAACCTTGGATTGGTTTGAACGACAAGGAAACTGAAGGTTCTTGGAAGTGGGTGGATGGGACCTCTATGACTCTTTCGTAAGTGTTTACTGTTTGCTGTCCCCAGCAACAGTAACACATTTTTTTATGAGTGTTACTTGGTACTTGTAGTTCCCCAAATACCAAAATAAATAGTTTTTCAAGATGAAGCAAAGTTAAATTTGACACTTCTGCCATTGGTTAGAAAACAAAGGAAATTAAGTATAAGGAAGTTATCATCTAGATTTGCAGGTAAATCTTCCTTTAATAGAGTAGACTATTAACCAGTATAAGTTTATAGCATCTGTCCTTAACATTTTTTAACCTTTTTTAGATTAACTATATGAACTTGGCCAAGGGTGTTATTTTAATGTTACTTTTACTGTGTGTTTTATTTTACGCTATATGTAGCATAGCTTTTAAGAGTGAAACAATGTGAAAGACATACTTATGTGGGTGGTGCAATACAACCAAATACAACAATTTATCATATTCACTGCAATGAATGCAAAGTGAACATAACTGAGTCAATACCTAAAGCCAGCCGCTCTGGCCCACTGGGAACCACAAAGACTTTTATGCACTTAGGATATCCTAATCATAAACCTTTATTTTTACCTCTGTGTTTTACATTACGCAGTTCAATTCAATTAAATTCAGTTTATTAATATAGCGCCAATTCACAACACAGGTCATGTCAAGGCACTTTACAGTTCACCAGATCATACAGTCAAACTGATTAAAAATTTTCTATCTAAGGAAAACCAGTGGATTGCACTCTTTGACTCGCAATCCCTCACACTAAGCATGTTTGAAGCGACAATGGAGAGGCAAAACTCCCTTTTAACAGGAAGAAACTTTGAGCAGAACCAGGCTCAGTGTGAGTGGCCATCTCCAGAGGCCTACTGGGGTTCAGGGAGACAGGAGCAGAGATAGAAAAGGTAACTGTAAAAGGTGGCCCCGTCCAGGAAACACGCAGCCAGGCAGACGAGCTCCGAGCCCACTCCCATTTCAGAAGATGAAGGGAGCACATCCAGCCAGTCACAGTCAGAGAAACAGGACTATACTGAAAAACAGGCCGATCACCAACATCTGTAAACAAAGGTGTTGAGGGCAGCAGCACAGCTGATATTTCTCTCCAGGATGGCGTCACAGCCAAACAGGAACAGAGAATTAGAGATTGAATTAACAGATTCTGCAAAGTGGGAGAATAGAGATAGAATGAAGCAGAATGATGAAAAAGGGGTCCCTTTGTCCTCCAGAAGTCTAGGCCTATAGCAGCATAACTACAGAGATAGCTTAGAATATCCTGAGCCCCTCTAACTGTAAGCTTTATCAAAAAGGAAAGTTTTAAGCCTACCTTTAAAAGTAGACAGGGTGTCTGCCTCACAGACTAAAACTGGAGAGGAACCTGATAACTAAAAGATCTGCCTCCCATTCTACTTTTAGAAATTCTAGGAACCACTAGTAAACCTGCAAAAATTAGAGCGAAGTGCTCTGTTTGGAACATAAGGAATGTTCATATCTCTGATATCAGAGCTCGGCCATTTGAGGCTTTATATGTGAGAAGGAGAATTTTAAATTCTATTCTTGATTTAACAGGAAGTCAATGAAGAGAAGCTAGGATAGGAGAGATATGATCTCAATTTTTAATTTTCATCAGAACTCTGGCTGCAGCATATTGGATCAACTGAAGGCTTTTTAACTACAGTTTGTGGACTTCCTGATAGTAAAGAATTACAATAGTCCAGTCTTGAAGTAACAAATGCATGGACTATAGTTTCTCAGTATCACCCCTGGACAGGAGATTTCTAATTTTTGCAATATTCCTCAGATGAAAGAAGGAAATTCTAGAAACCTCTTTGACAT